TATGAGGACATATATACGTAGCACTCCATCCTGCTAGCATGCCCAAATAGACTCTCCTGCTGGCCTTGAGAAAGTATGCTGCCATCATGTGAACTGCCTATAGAGAGGGCTATGTGGCAAGGAAGTGTAGGAAGCTTCTATGAGCATACGTCCTCCATCCTGCAACTGCAAGGAAATTAATTCTTCCAACAACCAGTTGAACTCAGAGGAGGACCCCAAGCTCCAGATGAGACCCCAGCTCCAGCTGCCATCTTAAATGCAGCCTTGGGAGACTCTGAGAAGAGGACCCAACCATGCTTGTCCACAGACCTTTGATATATGTTAACTGAGATAATAAACAGATGTTACTTTAAGCTAAGTTTCTGCAATTTTTTGTACAGAAGAAAATGAATATAGTATATTTCTGTGACAGAGGAATAGAGACGTTATGAAATGCATCTCTGGAATGAAGGAGAACAAAGTACAAACTCGGACTCTGACACTTAACTGAACTAGGCCTCCAGTATGATCAAGAAAGAGCAAAGAGTAGTAGTGTTCTTCATGCTGGAGCAGGGTCACTTCCATCCATTTTAAGACACATTCACTCCAGAGTGAACCCCAGAATGGAGTGTAAATCTGCAAGTTTCTTAGCCTCATTTTCCAAATGCCTCCCATCATGTGACTATTTGACTACAAATGACCCCAAAATTTAAAGACAGGTGTATGTTAGGCCTCCAGCATGTCACCTCAACATAACCATTTCATCTGATACCTAAGCAAAGACAAGTAGCTTTGACCAGGTAGGATGTTCACCTTCCCTGCTGACTTGAGAATCATCCCTACATCTAAGATCTTCCCAGAAATGTTCCTTGCACCATTAAACAGAAGCGGGTGGCCTCGGTGCAACTCAGCTCGGGCAACAGTCAAATCCAGATTGAATCCCAGATATACCACCCATTAGCTATGAGACTCTGAGCAAGACACTTGACTCTGAGGCTGTTCTTCACCTGTGGAAATGGGGCTAGGGAAAGTTCTTCCTTTGGTGGGCTGTTCTAGGTATCAATGAGATAATGCATTTGATACACTCAGCGCAACGCCAGGTACCTCGTAGGTGCCCAATAATGCTATCATTATTGTTATGTCCTGGACTCTGGACACAAGTGAGTCACATCTGTTGTATCCAAGAAAGGCTCTTTCTGGGAGGCTTTCCCAACTGGAAAGCTGGAGGTCAGAACTGGGGGAGCTGTGTGGCAACACAGGGCAGGGCAGTGAGTAGAAGTGGTGGCAAGATGCCAAAGCCTGAGACTTTCGGACCCCTGGGGCAGCCAAGGACAAGAAAGTCTGTCTCCAGGCCCTGGTTCAGTCTTCTGAGCCCCATTTTCACTCTTCCAAAGGGACTGCAGCATTTCTATGACAACTAAGAATAAAACTTTAATAAAATGTCATCAACTTCCCTGGGCACCTCACTTAAAGCCTAAGACTCACTTCGTCATTTTATAAATAGTCATTATCAATATTATGACTACTACTACTACTCTTACTATTATCAAGGAAAATAACCACTCACCGTAAAAAATAAATAAATAAAACTGGAAGAGTCCAAAGAAAAATGCAAAACTACCAATTTAGTTCAATTCCCCATCTGCCTTTCTGACACCTCTCTCTGCATTCAGAGACAGGGAGATATATGAATATAATTGCACATAATTGGAGTCATATGATATATACTGTATTTCTCACTCAACAATATGTCATGAGCATCTTTCCAAGTCCATAAACATAAATCTTCACCACAAAATTCTAGCAGCAGCTTGGATTGGACTTTATGGATGCATGTAATTTACTTAAACAATTCCTTATTGATGGCTATTGAGGCCATATCTTTATTATTATTTTTTGCTAATACAAGCATCCCTCAAAAAATATACAAACACAGCTTCTTGCATTCACACATTCATCGCCAAGGTGTAAATTCCTACAAGTGTGATTACTTCATCAAAGACTAAACATGTTTTATGCTTTCAAACACGTGAGATGGAATCATCGGTCACCACATGTTGCCACGAACCAAAAATCACAAAAAATGACTCCTTCTACCTAGGACACATTAGGCTGGGAGACTGATCCATGGATTCCAGCCAGAAGGACCCAGAATGGCAGTACTACGAAGGTCAGAGGTAGGGAAGAAGGGGTGGGTTAGGGTTGCTGACCTCAGAAAACCTCTAAAACTCCTCAGCTTCCAGTAGAAAAAGAAACAGGATACCATCTTTACTTCCAGTGGAGAGAACCCATCAGCCTTAATGAGGTGGGGCTAAGGGCCAGAGAATATCCAACCCAATCCAACAAAGTTGAAAATCCAGGGGGGCAGGGGTGCTCTTCTAGGATCCTGGCAAATGGAGAGATCTCAGACACCTTTAGTCCTACTGTGGATAACGAGCATTAAAGTGGGTGGGGGGAGGTTTCTCCACATGTTTCCATCTTTCTCTTTAAAAGTTCCTGCACAGCATAACCAGCTTCAAGACTTGTAAGTCACTTCCCTGTTCCATGCTCCATTTTCTCACCTGCAAAATGGGTTTGGCCTATTTATGTTTTCTTTCCACAGGCTTAATGTGAGGTTACTAGACTCCTGTGTGCCATAAAACACACAGTTATTTCTAAGATCATGAGGAGTGTGGTACTCAGCCTCCACAATGCCCCCCAATGATCCCTCCTCTGGGTATCTACATTTGTGTGTACCCCGTACAACAATTTCATTGTGGATGGTTTGCATGAGTAACAGAATACAGAAGTGAGAGCATGTGACCTCTGAGGATAGGTCATAAAAGGTGTCAGGGATTCTGCCTTGCTCTCTATTCCTCCTAGAGGGCCGTGTCATGAGGACACCCAAACAACTCTATGGAGAGTCTCTATGGGAGGAGCTGAAGCCCCACTCAAGCCTGAGGATGATGGTCATGCCAGTTCTTTAGAGACCCTGAGCCAGAACCACCCATCTAAGCCACTCCCAAATTCCTGACCCCAGAAACTGTGAGATAATGTTTGTCCTTTTAAACCACTAAAGTCTAGGGGCGCCTGGGTGGCGCAGTCGGTTAAGCATCCGACTTCAGCCAGGTCACGATCTCGCGGTCCGTGAGTTCGAGCCCCGCGTCGGGCTCTGGGCTGATGGCTCGGAGCCTGGAGCCTGTTTCCGATTCTGTGTCTCCCTCTCTCTCTGCCCCTCCCCCGTTCATGCTTTGTCTCTCTCTGTCCCAAAAATAAATAAACGTTGAAAAAAAAAAATTAAACCACTAAAGTCTAGAGTACTTTTCTATGTGCCAAGAGATAAAATACACTTTTAAAATACACTTTCGTGATCTAGCAATCATTTCCCCATCTACACAATGGGGAGACTACCACAGAGACTTGATGTGGAGTTGTGGACACTGACAAAGTGCAACAGAGATGGAGTCCAGGCTGTGTGATGTTGGACATATTCTCTACTTCACTCAAGCTTTGGTTTCCTCATCCACAAAATGAAGACAGGACCAGCACTTACGTGATGGGGTCATTGAGGGGACTGAATCAGCATAGAGATCAAACACTTGGTCAAATGCAAAGTGGGACAAGACAGCCAGCTGGGTCGTGGTCATTTCTCATCATGTTTTTTCTTCTTCCTCCTCCATTTGGCATCACTAGTGACCACTTCTTTCAGGTGATCCAGCGATGAGTTTATTGTAAAAACCTAGCCTCAAAAGTCATTTGGGAGGAACAGATAGAAGCCAAGAAGTGGGTCCTTCAAATGTCTAGTATGCACCAAGTATCAGCACAGACTGGGTCCTAAGTGGGGGGGGGGGGGGGCACACCAACAAGAGATCACACACAGATGCTGCCCAAGGTCATGTGACTATCTTTTTAAATTCTTTTTAATGTTATTTGTTTTTGAGATGGGGAGAGAGAGAGAGAGAGAGAGAGAGAGCGGTGAGTAGGGGAGAGGCAAAGAGAGAGGGAGACACAGAGTCTAAAGCAGGCTCCAGGCTCTGAGCTGTCAGCACGGAGCCCAATGTGGGGCTCAAACTCATAAACCACAAGATCATGACCTGAGCTGAAGTCAGACACTTAACCAACTAAGCCACCCAGGTGCCCCATGAAATCTTTTGATAAAAGAATTTACTCTCAGCCATGCTCGTATCATCACCACAATATCTTGCCATATCTACATTATCATTACCTCCAAACTTAGTCCATACTCTTTTCTAAGTCAACTCATGTCTTTAAAAAATATTTTCTAAAGACATTTCACATCATTACCATAAATAGAAAGCCAGCATTGCTTGCCATGAAGACAATAGTCAAACTAAACACATCGTGACTAATACAAAGCAACAACAACAAAGGTCTATGGGCCCTTTGAAATCATCTCATAGTCACCAGCGACAAACAAACATAACACACTTTCGGACCATACCACACAGTTCTCATATCCCAGAGAGGACGAGCAGGAGTGTTTTGGGAACTGCAGTTACAGGGAGGGTCCCTGCCCCCTGTATGCCTGGATGACATGTGGAGGGAGCATAGAAATCCACATCTAGCACCAGCAACAGTCCTATGTCCTAATAACCCAAACCTTGTACCAGGACATGGGGCTTCAAAGCACTCATCGACATTCCTATGGGGACAATCCCTCCATTTCTCACCACCCTGGGGTCTGTCTCCACATCAAGAAGCAAAAAGACCAGCCCATGGCCCCTCTACCTGTCACTGCTGCCCCAGATGTGTCCCCCAAGTGGGCCTGGCTCTTCTCTGAGGGGAGAACTCAGCTTTCCTATCTTGTAACATAGACTGAGACTCCGGCCCCAGGTGTTTCCTAATAGAAATTCTGTGAGTGCCTGGGAACATTTATTCCCCTCAAACCCAGTTACTTCTCCAGCAAGATCAGTTTCAGGTAAAAACCAGTCCTGGTGATTGATGATGGAGAGCAAGGAGGCCGAAAAGGATGCAAAAGCGGTTTCTAAATCTAATTCGTTCAGCAAAATGCTTCTACTTACTGAGTCTTGTGGACTGTTCCTGGCACTGGAGAGGAGGGCTGAGTTCTCACATTTGTAGTCCTGGCAAAAACAAAAACAAAGACAGGTGGAGGAACCCACATTGAAGACAAAATTCCAATTTGGAGTAGCCCAGTTTAGCATGACCCACGGTCTCTCAGCATTTTTAGTCATCCCACTTGCTTTCTCTCTCTCTCCTTCCAACCGCCTCCTGGAGTGGGGGGTGGGAGGTGTTTAGACCTGCCCTGCCCAACACAGCAGCCACTACTAGGCACCTACAACTAGTGTGAGCTGAAACGTGCTAGAAGTATGTACTACCTGCTGGATTTTGAAGACACTACTGAAAAAAATAAATTGATTGTAAAATGTCTCATTAATATTAATATCACATTAATATTTGTATATTGATTTCACATCAAAATGATATTTAATAGTATATTAAAATAAAGTATGTTGTATTTAAATATATAAATATATTGTGAATATTTAAAATAAAATATATTATTATAATTAATTTCATCTGTTTCTTTTTACTTTTTAATGTGGCTACTAGAAAATATTAAATTACACGTGTGGTTCTCCAGACATCTCTATTAGCCAGCAATGGTCTAGAATCTTCTCTAAGAGTGAATACTCTGGGGGGGGGGGGGGCCCCGCCGGCGCCCCCAGCCTGAGGGCTGCATCCTGCTGCCCCATGACTGGTCCAGGCTGGCTTTCCACAGCCTCATCCCAAGCCCTCCCATGCCCTCCCCTGCCCCCCCCCTCCCCCGCAACAGCTCCTGTTCCTGGAGCACCTGCACTGCTGTGTGCTTAATGCTCTTCATGTACTTTGTTCATTAACCCTCACAAGGTTATCAGAAGCTGGTCTCCATCCCAGCCCCATGCTATGGGCACAGAATCACACAGAGGCTGAGAACCTGTCTGAAGTACCTGGGCAGGGGTGCAGTGAAACCAGAGCTTAGACCCAGATGTGAAGGGATGGATGTTCACTGTGCTGTTGTATTTTCCCCTGACACCTTTCCCACTTCTCCGTGAGGCATAGCACATGGGAGCCATGGGAGCACATGGGAGCACATACTTACAGTCCGTCGACATGCAACCCTCAAGCTCCAAATTGTTGTTAACTCCATGTCAGTGGGGTTTGACCTGGAGTCACCTCTTAAACCTCCTGGGCAGAGACAGAGGTATGTGTGCATTCACACACAAACGAGGGAGACAGAGATATAGAAAGGTATCAAGAGAGACAGAGGAAGAAAGACAGGAAGAGAGAGAGAAGAAGCTGTCTACTCTCCTGTACCAGCCACAAGTTACTTAGACCCATGAACAGAGTTCTGTCAATAGTTTACAAACACCGACAAAAGGAAAACCTCTCAGTATTTCCCTTTATTGCAGTTTTGCCAAAGACACTGGTCATGGAAAAATCCAGCAACCACAAGACCAAAACTGTGCTTGGACCCCTCCTTCCTCTGCATGGGAGATGGTCCCCATGCCACCCACCCATTACTGAAATGATTAACGAATTTAGGGAGGGAGGGAAGGATGGATTTAAACACAAATTATGCCCCTCGCCTTCCAGCAACCGCCTAAAGCAGCAGCCTTAGAGGGGAGAGAGGAGGAAGATGTTGCCAAAAGCATGATTTTGCAGACAGATGTACTTATTCTCCCTTGACAAATGTCTATTGTCTGAAAATGGCTATTTTTTCTTCCTTGTCTCTTGGTCCCATTTTCTATAGAGGCAAATAGAAGCTATGCTTGAGTGGAGTTCAAGCCTATAACAGATCTCACCTAACGGACAAGTTTCAAGTGTTACAGATCCCCTGGGGTCTGTGTGGTCCTTTCTTTGAAAGGGACCCAACCCCCTGCCTACTTCCAGCTGGTCAAGGGATGCACCAACTACAGAGTCTCTTTCAGGAATAGGGACCAAGACACATGGAGAAAGTCTCTGGGCTCCTGAGGTCCAAAGCACTTGTATTCAAAGCCACTCTTGGCTCCGTAGCAGCCATTACTACAGGAAGGTCAAGTGTGGCTGCAGCCAAATCTAAGCCTTCCAGAGGAAGCTGACCAGAAGAAAGGAGAAGGGAGGCCCTATGTGAGCTGTTCCTGCCACAGTGATAAGAGTCCCCAGGCCTGGAAAGAGACCCCTACACTCAAGTAGGATCTTACCTGGGAACCCTCTCACTTGAGCAACTCCTATCCAGCTGTCCCCTCTAGAGACTTGCCTCCTTCTCTTGGCTCCTTCCTAACCTCCCAAGCCCCTCCCAGCAGCCAGCTGCCCAGTCTCCTACTTAGCTGAGGATCCCTCCTTGTGGTATTTCCACCTCACGTTCGTTAGTCTGGAGCCTTCACCCCTAAGAGGTGGGAATGGCACCAACTCAGCTCACTGTCCTTAGAGGACTTCTGATACCATTAGACCCTTTCATACCCTGTGATTGTGTCTGCTCCATACTAACTGGCAGCCCCCCACCCTTTTTTACACAGTCCCTGTGTTATCCTGAACAAAGCAGCTAACTACACCCAGTTCCCTGTGCCTGTTTGCATCCTCACCTTGGAAACAGTGACAAGCACCTAAGTGGGGTTCTAAGCCAGAAGCAGACAACAGAGAAGGAAGATGTCTCAAAAAGAGGGGAGGCAGCAGGGCTGTCTGACATTGTTCTGGTTTCCAGAAAGCCTCACTTGTCTCCTTGAGTCCTTATAATAAACTTCTGTATCTTTTGACTCAACCTGGTGCATCGTAATGAAAATTTTTCATTACGAAAGAGAAGATCTCTCTCTCCCCCTTACCACATCGCTGAGTAGGACCCTAAGCAATCCATAGTTGCTGCCCATCTCTTTATCCTTTGTCCCAAGTGCAGTGGACCCCTTCCCCGGACCTCATTCCTGCCCTTGAAGTCCAGTAGTCTGCCCTTGGAATTCATGCCCTCTTGTGTCTTGGTTGGCAGATTTCAAAAGCTGGGACACGGATCACCAAGAGTGAGGACTCAGCCAGTTTAAACAATGACCAAGCAAGAGAGCCCCACGGGGCCATTTGGCATCACCCTATAGAGGATTTGGCATGAACTGGTGTGAGGTCCCAAAGAGCCGTGACAGACAGCATTTGAAGGTGACACTCTTTGCACAGACATGACTTTTAAAGTCATTTAAACAGAACTCAGATAAACAGAAGGCCAAGACCACAGCTAACGGACAGAAGTTGTGCTGGGGTTTGGAGGCATGGTGGGTTCCTAAAGATGGAGCCAGTAAGACCTGCAGAGACCCCAGGTGTGAAAGACAGGTGAGGTCAGTTTTCTAAATGTCCGCCAGGCCCATGGTACCCAAACATGTCCCAACTACAGAAGTGTGAGACTCCTGGAGAAGTCTGGATTCTGTGAGACACAGGGCAGGGTGAGAAGCTGATAAGGCCAGACCATGGGACCTAGGTGATCACAGACAATAGGCAAGTCCACCTTACCATGGAGGCTGCATTTGCCCAGGCAAAAAATCAGAATAACTCCTGAATGGCTGAACCAACTGGAGGACCTAACATCAAATCATGTAGATTTTTATCATCTCAGAGAGCTGACGACCTTTATAATTATGACCCAAACCCAGAAGCCACAAAAAAAAAATAAGACCATTGGGGCACCTGGGAGGCTCAGTTGGTTGAGCGTCCGACTTTGGCTCAGGTCACGTTCTCACAGTTCATGGGTTCGAGCCCCGCATCAGGCTCTAGGCTGACAGCTTGCTCAGAGCCTGGAGCCTGCTTCAGACTCGGGGTCTCCTTCTCTCTCTGCCCCTCCCCTGCTCACGCTTTGTCTGACTCCGTTTCTCAAAAGTATATAAATATAAAAAAATTTTTTTTAAAAAGACCATAAAGTACAAGACAAAGGACAAGGTGAAAAAAACCTGGAACTCACTGAACAAAGGGATAGTTTCCATTTCTTGGAATTTCTGCTATGGAATGTCTGCACATGTGGAAAATGGCCAATGCCAAAGATATGCACTGAAGCATTTCTTTTTAATTACAAAATATTGGGAGCAACATAAATTTCCATTATTCAGAGACCAACTACATCAGTTATGGTGCATCCAGAAAACCTCAGAAAAGATAATGAGGCAGCTAGATATGGAATGATAGAGAAAAACAGTAAAATGCAGAGTGGTTCATATAGTATGCTACAATCTGTTCTTTGTTTTAAGATTATATGCATATATACTGTATGCACTGAAATCTCTGGAAGATAGATAAGAAACTGGTAAAAATAAATGGCTAATTTTGGAGATAGGAGCAAGTTGGCTGAGCAGAATGGAATAGAAGGGAAGTAGGGATTTTACACTTCTGACTCTTGTATACTCTGGGCATGTATTTTTGATGAACAATTTTTATTCTACCTTAAATTTTTTTTTTCAAAGAAAATAATTTAGTGTCATGACATAAGGCATTTCTAGCAGAACCCTTTGGGTAGGGATTCATTTCTTGCTATTGTCTGAAAAAAAGAAAGTTAGCTCACATAATGTAAATGACTTGGGGGTTGCTTTGGAGGACAAGAACCCTGCCAGTGTGCTGTGAATGCAGAAATGATGGCATGGGGGGAGGGGATATTTTAAGGGTTTTTACTGTGAAGTTCAAGTATGTGGCACACTACACTTGCCCCTTGTGTTCTCAGGGCAGGCAGTACTAATGGAGCACTGAGTTTTCCTGCTGAGCCCAGAGATGTAGTCTAAGAACCCATCCCAACACAATCAGAAATGCCACCCATCCATGTATATTAACTGGTGCTCGGCTGTAATCAAATCCCGTCCCCGGGTAGGATAGCCACACGGCAAAGCCCAGAAATCTGGCAGCAGGATCTCCACTCACATCGTCCCTCGGCAGCACCACTTGGTTCTAGGAAGAGACGTGGCATCACCAGCTTCCCAATGCCACCAATCCCTGCCAGTGCCCAGTAGGAAGGCAAGGAGGCATCCAACATCCCAAGGCCCATCTTCCGAAAATGTCATCTAGGCCCTACCTGACACCCCCAGATCACGGAGTCCTTCTGAGAAAATGCCAGTTACCTTCAGCAAGGAAGTTGGCTCCCTGGTTT